AATTTGAACAAGCAGAATACCAGAAACAACCATTTTTTCGTGTTTTGCGTTTTGTCAAAAAAACGAAAATCAAAAGTTCAGGCTCGTTTATCTCGTTTTTTGGTTCTTGGTTTCTGGTTAGCTTAACAAAAACGAATTTACCACTGTCAATATTTTCGTTTCCGTCGGTGGGGTCCTTCTGGATGTAGTGTGCTCTTCCTTGTAGTGATGGTTCTGGGTCGCGAAGATCCGGCTAAGAGCCGGCTCTTTGAAGTGAACGACGGGAGCCGGGCTCCTGATTTTTGCGAGCCAGATCCAGATTTTTTTTCCCGTATTTTCCGTTTTTTCCTGTTAAAGCCGCGTGATTTTGGTCAAAGATGTGTGGCGGCTATCTGTCGGTATCTACACTGAGCAGAGGGGGAGGGAGGAGTTACAGACACACGAGCACAGTGATCACGTGAACAGGTGGGCCCCGGGGGAGGGAGATGCGAAGAGAGCGAGAGAACTTGGTCTTACCATAGAACGAAGACTACACATCTGGAGTAAGGTGAGAAAATGAGTTGGACAGAAATGAACGTAGTAAAGTTTTGGACAATTTTAATGTTATAGACAGTGTCAAAGGCAGAGTGTAAGACTGTGCAAAGTTTAAAAAATTTCATATCAAGCATCTTTTTTTTAATTGAGATGTAGTCTTTTTGTGTTATATTATTTTTGTAGGATAGCACTGGTTTCCAGTGATATTTAATAAATCCATATAATAAGCTGAAACATTGTGGATTAAATGTATGTATTTACATTAGATGTTGCATTGTTACACATAATTGGTAATAAATTTAATTACGTAAGCAACAAAAAATAGAGGAGCCATCCGGCCGAAAGAGGCCGGTGCGTCTTTTAGTGAGCCAGGCCAAAGGAGCCGTATCTAATAAAATTTAGAGCCGGAGATTCCCATCACTACTTCCTGTGGCCCTGGGCTGCGTCTTGCGTTTCGGCAAAATTAAAGTTGCACTGCGCGGGCCTCCTGTTCGATAATGTCGAACATTGTGTATAGAGCAGCTAGCAGACACAAGAGACCCAGTTAACCCACAGTCACTATGGACTGACACCCGTCGGTTCTTCAAATGTAACAATAATAGTATTCATAATCATTTTGAAAATGAGATCTTATGAAGTCTATATGAACTTCAGTGCAGTTTGATGTTACGCACACGTGCGCGGCAGTATTACATGGAAGAGTGACCTGAGCTTTACCTATGACAGGAGGCTCAACATATCCAGGCTCTGTTTCATAATCCGGCTTCAGACCAAACAAAAAGCCCCCGGCAGAGGTTAACTGGCGTATATGACGAACGTGTTGTTGGTAGTGTTTATTTGAGGAATTTCTTGAATTTTAAGAATTAGAGTCAATGATTAATATGGGAAATGATAGTAATTTGACCTATAATTAATGAGAGAGCAGATTAATAAGAATATATATAGTAGTCACTTGGTAATATATATGTGATTTAATGAGTTTAAAATTTCTTGTTTATTTGTTATCTGTTGATGTAAATCTTGAGAAGAAAGAGAAGGAGGGGAGTTCAAGTAGAGAAAAAGGGAAAATAGAACTGGCGAGAAAGAATCTTGTGGAGCTGTTTTGGCGGTACTTGATATGGGATGTGGAATAGATGCGCGTGAAGTGGGTGTGTAGGAACCATTGGGGCTGGCCCACGAGAGGGAGAAGGAAGGGTGTGTAGAGGGGGAGATAGATGATTCAATAGGAGAATTAGTATGTGATGGCAAGAGTTGATTATCATTACTATCGACTGGCGCGAAGTGATAGATAGTATGGAGGAGCGAGGAGTCAGAAAATGGGGAAAAGGATTAGTGCTATGTGTGTGGAGGGAGGGATACACACAGGTAGGAGAGGGTGTAGGGGCGAGTAGGATCGGCAGGGTTGGAAGTTATAATTGTTCTTTGATAAGAGAGATGAAAAAAAAGAGAGATATAAGTTTAAAGATCGATGGATTGGGAGAGTAATTGTTTAATAAAATGTGAGGAAAAATGATGTTTTTATATAATGATGTTTTTATAAGGTGAGCTTTGAATGATAAAGTTTTGTCTAATAGAGGAGTGGTGGGAGGATGTGATTAGGTTACACAAGTGGATTAGAAAAAGGAAGATGGTGTGTAAATGTTGTTATAAGCATGTTTATTAAAATAATGGAAAAATTGAGGCGTTATAGGAGAAGTGAGGGAATATGAGTTTATGTGTGTGAAAGTGTTATGTTGTGAGTGTTCTGTGTGTGTAGTTGTTTATGTGTGTGTTGGGGGGGGTGGGGGGTTAAAAGAATAAATTATTGGTGATAATATTGATGTTGATATATGAGTGTTATGAGGAGATATGATAAAGTTATGTATTAAGGGAAAGAAGGAAAAGAAGAGGATAAATTGAAATACAATGTGAAAGATGATGGAAGAATGGCTTTAATATTATCTGTGTGATATTTTTTAATACTGTTTTAGACATTGGTAAAGTATTAGTATTTGACTCGATAGTGGATTATGATTTTTATAAAAAAAAATGGTGGAATGGGGGTAAATGTGGTATTATGATGTTTGATCTTGGATTGTAGTAGATTCTGATTTGACTTATAAAAGGAGCATGGGAATTTATATAATGTTGGTAATTAATTTGGTGAAGATTTGTATCGTATGTGGATGTTATGGGTAAACCTGCAGGGAATACTGGAGATATTTAGGAATCTGTAGTTAGATGTCAGAGATGGAGGAGGTGGCGGCATTGTGTGTTTGAACGTTTGAGATATTGGTAAAGGATGTGGGGAGTGGTTGTTAGGTTGAGTGGAGATAAATAGGTGATGGTAGTTTTGATTAATTACTACATGTAAGATGATATTAATGGTAGAAGTTAAAGTTTATAATTTAAAGGTTCTTGTATAGTTGAAGATTAATTATTAAATGAAATTATCTATATGTTATTTATAGTCTTAGTTGTTATTTTCTTTTCCTTGTATATAATTATAAATGGGTATTACTGATCTGTATTAGTAGATTGATTTTTTTTGCAATTTTGGTGCCTTGATAAAAAATATAAAAAAAAAGAAAAATTAACAATTAGTTAAGTATTGAATGTAGAAAGTAAATAAAGGAGATCCTACAAAACCAATAATGATTATATATAACAAACAAAGTATAGCAGAGTTAATAGTAATGATAGATGTTAATTAATATATCTGTCTTGGATATTTATTGAACAACAACATGATGAAGGCGTGATCGTGTATATTATATGTTGGTTATTCAATTAATATTATATTATTGGTTAACTATGGCCAGGGTGTGGTAATTGGTGGTATTGATATGTTGGATTGATAAGAGTTATCACTTCATACATGAGCTTTTGTACGTAGATATGGGAAGTTATCAATGATGGTGGTGATAAATTCATTATGGAATGAATTAGTATGATAGAATGTACAGGAATGTGATTATTTTGGATGTCAGGGAACACATGTGGAGTTTGATAGGTTTTATGTATGAGGACTGGAGAGTGATAGTTAAGGTAGGGTTTAAGAAGTGTGCGGCGAGTGGTTAATTACTACTAGTAAATTGAAAATGGAATAATACATGTGGTTAGTATAACGTGTTTATGCAGGTATGTTACTAATAAAGAAACATAAGAAAACAAAAAAAAATATGCGTATTACAGAATGAAATGCATATGCGGTAGTCGTTTTTTGCAAGAAGAGGTAATTGAGTATGGAGTTCTGGTGAAGGCATGGGTTGTTTGTTGTGTTTCTTACTGCGACAAAGGTTGAAAGTTGGATATTGGGAGAATAATGAAGTGTGAGATGTGTAATTGAGGAAAGAGGGTTCGTATGAATTAGTCACTTGAATTATAATGTAGAGTTATAATGGGGGAGTATAAAATATTTTTTTTTATTTTTAAATTGGGAGTTTTGTGGATGTGTGTTGTGTGTTTAATTATATAGGACCATGACCTAACCTATTAGAAAACGGTTTGTAGGAAAATTTAATAACGTTAATTATGGTGTTTTGAGATTGTAGTATTATAGTGGGGTAAAAAAGGAAGTATAGGGATGGAGATGTTATACGGGGTTGTGATGTTTAGGTTAGGAAGAGAATGAAATGAGGAGTTAAGAAATCTTAAGATAAACTGTGTATGTCAGGTTTAGGAGAAGATGAAGGAAAAGATATTTTATCTGAGGAAAAAGAACTATTGGTAAACTATCAATTAGTATACGTGTGTGTTCATGTGGGGTACAAATTAATGATGGGATGTAAAGGATATATGAGTTTGATTGAGATGTGCGCGGATGGGAAGATAAACTGAAGTTTTAAATAAAAGGGAACAGGGAATATAGTAGATAAATATGAAAGTTTATCAACTTTTAATAAAAGGTTTGATGTTGAAAGGAATAGTTCAATTTTGAGATTATTCATGTAGTTATGAGATAATGAGTGATGGTTGGTTAGTTTAGAAGGTAGTCGAATAGGAAAAATATGAGTGGGAATGAGAGTGGCAATAATTTTACATGTGTCACGAAGAAAGGTATAAGTGAATTTAAAATGTAAATTTTTATCACTTATATAGTGTTAATATATTGATTAAATATGATTGTTTTTATCATGTAATGTTTGCGTATTTTGACTTGTAATAAATTTCTTAATTTAATTTAATTTAAAGATTTGAGAAATGGTTTGAGGATGTATATTGTTCATAAATGGGCATGGACTTGGAATAAGTTTGGTGGGATTACATTTGAAAGAGGGTTTTTATTATGAGATGATCACAAAATGAATGATCTGATAGTTGATAAAAAAAAATAAGTAAGGAGGGACATGGATGTCTGGAGAACGGTTAAAGAGAATAGGTGTTGTTTTATGAAATGTGTATTGTTGAATATATATTTTTGTTGGAACATGAGGGGATGGGAGTGGGGGGTAATTGAAGGTTGATTTACCGAAATACAGGCATGTCGCTTGTGAATTCGACCACGCTGATTTTAGGTATAGGAATAGTTTGCTCTTTTGGTTTTTTTAAGAGGACTGTCTCGTAAGGAGCGTGCCGGATAATATTATGTTTTTGGGTTAAATTAAGTACTGAGAGGAGTTAGTATTATGGTCATCTCCGAAAAATGATGGAATTGGCGGTATTAGGTAGATTGGATTTTATAACTGTCACATAAGATAACTTACCAGATGATAATCATATTTAAGAAATTAAAGATAGATTGTCATATAAATGTAGGAAGACGCCAGGCTGTCATTTTTTTTTGCTTCACTTTTTTTCTTATGGATTAAAAAATAATATCCCAGAGGGTCCACTGTGGTATCTGCTCTTGTAATAGTGAGTGACTGTTGCGACAAATATAGTGTAGACATGACGGGTATAATTAACTGTATTGGTACCGATAGAGAGAGTTCTTTGTGCTATGATATGGGGTGCGTGTTCTTTTCTTTGAATCTTTGATGGTTTGGTTGGTATGTCATGTAGTGGTGTAGTGTTATTTTAATGATTGAAAGGATGGTTCTATATGATTGGCTAATTAAGTATTAACTATATTTGATTATGAGATAATTGTTTTTGTTAGTTTGGTTTGTTTGGGGGAAGGGATGTGATATGAAGTTTGTAATTTAGATGTTTGTATCTGAGGTTATTTAAGAAGGAGTGGTTTTGTGTTTATTTGTTTTTCGTTTTGGGTTTGTGTAGTGGTGTGTTGGAGGTTAGTAGTAAGGTGGGTGTGGAGGTTTCTGGTTTTTGTGGGTAGTCTGGAGGGTGTTATGAATGAGGGTGATGAGTGGAAGGAGGATAGTGTTTTGAATTACGGTTGGGACTTGTGTGTTAGGATAGGACCTGATAGAGAAGGGACTTTTATTTTGCCATATTTTTATAGTATTTAAGGTTTTTATTTCAGTGACCTAATTCTATATATGTAACCAGGTCGTCTTTCGTGTAAATTTCTTGTGAAATTTGGGGTTTTCTTCATGTATTAAAGTATTATGGATATGCTAGTAAGGTTTATGTTTTCCTCCGTCACTTTTGTCTTTCAGAAAAGCCTCAGTTTTTCTTGTTCAAAATGTAAACTTTTTTTCGATAGTTTGGTAAACTAGAGGGTGTATCTGTGGGGATTCTTCTTCTTTTGCAATGTCTGAAAGGCAAAAACCAAGGATGTAGGTCTTTGTTCTGCTTGCGAAACGTAGATGTGCTATAGAATTTTTGTTTGTTCTGTGTTTTATGGGCCTATTCTAAGATAGGCTTGTGAGGGGTTTATGCTTGGTATGTTTAATTATAAATTATGATATATTTTTTCCCGTAGTAAGGTATCTTCTCATAGGCCAAAAAGGAATGAGATATCACGTAAAAAGTCCTTTTCATTATATAATGTTAGACTGGGATTTATGTGGCTTGGAGGTCTTATTAGACATCTTTAGAGTCTTAAGAGCTCTTATTCAAATTAAGCTGTTTGCAAGGAGGCTTCTGGATGGGGTTCCTCATCCTGTTAGCTTTAGAGTTAGAAGTTTTGATTAGCTAACCAAGCTTTAGGATGTTGTGCCCCAGGCATGCTTAAACATGCTCGGCAGCCACCACGTAGAGAATTACTGGCAAACAAGATGAGGTGAACACATAATAGCGTTTCAGAAAAACTACTCGTGAGATTTAGTGTGAAATGAGTGGAAGTGCGTGTGGGAGTGTTCCTGTTGCGATGAATCTTATGCCCCATTAGTTTAGAGGGAATTTCGTTGTTAGTCCATGTAAAAAGGAACCGTGGTTTTGGACCTATTTATTTAAGCCACCCTATATATTATCTAAAGTAATAATGTTGCTTCTTAACTTTTATGGCCGGAAGCTGGTGGTGGGTGAGTGGCGTTGGTGTCCGTCGCTGGGCGTGACCGCCTGGTGATGAGCGTGGATTTTTGAGATGATGAGGGGTGATGCATGCTAGGGATATTGAAGAAAGCCGAGTATGTTATACGTAATTGTGAGTATTTAATGCGCTGGTGTGTCGTGGTTTGGGTGATTGGTGTGCGTGGAAAAAACATTAGGAAAAAACCCCCAATTTTAATCTTTTCCAAAAATGTTTTTCCTGGCAATCCGTATCCCAATGTAGGACAATGGTTCCACTACCACAATTATTCCCCTTTGTAATAAGTTAAAATCACCTTTGGTGTAGGGCTTACAGGAAAAAATGAATTCAAAAGACTCCAGAGAAAAGGAGAAATGACTGGAGTAGAATTGCTCAGAGATTTAGGGGGATTGGCCCTATAATTGACTGTGTGTACAGGTGTTTTACCCTTGAGAGAAGGTTTCTATTGTCAGATGTTTCCAATCCTATAGCAGGAGGCGAGGTAAAAAGAGTTTGTATAATAAAAAAAACGTGGGTATTTAATTCTGCAATTGCAGGTGTGAGTGTAGTGTCCTTTGGAAATTACGGTGCGTGGCGGGACTGTTTGCGTAGTTGTAGATCTGCAGGCCAAAAATCCTGTTGATTGTTCTCCCTGCTTCTCTATACGATATTCTATAGACTTATCCGTGGGCTGGGGAATTCCAGCTTGAAGGAATTTGCTGACCGTCAAGGATATTTGAGGTTGTGTTGTAGGTTTGTGTTGCGGCTGTGACTAATAACGGATAGATGAAACATGCAGTGTGTCAGTGACAAATACAAAATGTTTTTAATACAATAGAGGAAGAGTCTTCTCTCTATAGGGCCAGAGAAAAAACGAAAAAACGTAAAAACGGCTTGTTACTGGTTTCTGCTTGTGTCAATTATTCCCAGAAAACAGACTCATAACACATACATAACATAACACATAACATAACATAAAAGATGTGACAAGACGTGAGTCACATACTTGTCCGTATGTGACTCAGATGAGATTTTCTTTCATGATAGTGTGAACAGCACAAATGACATGAAATCTGATCTTTTCGATTTTTATTCGGGCCACATTCAAATCAGATACAATGAACAGTCATATCAGAATTAATTTGACTTTTATGTCACTCTAGATCAACATCCATCACACGGGTCACTTCAGGACCGTGACCTATATGGTCAACATGGGCCATATTAAAAGAAATAATGTGAACAACTAATCTAAAAACTCCGACTGAATATGGATCCCAGATCTCTTACTTACAGGTACGCAAAAGAAAAGAGCAACTCCTGATTGGCAAGATGATTCTGTCTTGAGTTTATTTAAAAGCATTGAGTTTATACACAGTTGTTGGTTTTCAAAGTATCCATTATTAATGTATTATTGAAAATGTTATTTTCCATAAATGCAAAACTTTATGCTTGCCTGTCAACAAATTTCACATTTTGGGATGTTTTGCTGAGCTGCTGCACTCTGACTCTCCAGTTTGCACTCACAACTAATTGGCACTTATTAACTGAAAGAGAATCAATTGAACTCTGTCTCCATTTTCGCAATCATTTGAATCAAATTACACAGTATTTTTCTGGGAACCTCCCAATGAATCAGTTCCTTTCCGGGAAATTGGCGGAAACTATGAGCCCCCCTAAAACAAAGTGTTAGCCAATAAACCTTTTCAGCCTATGTCAGAGCCTGAAAACCTACTCAAATGTCTAATTATTATACATTCTAAACACAAACATAAGTAGTCATTAAAATATTATTAGTGGTAGAGTAGTCAGTATTAGGGGGGAATACAGAATATCCCTTTGGCCATATTTGCACAGTAGATGGAGCTGTTTTCTAATTTATATTGTATATTAATATGTACTGAAGCTCTTTGTGCCACAGGCCTCAAACTGGTGCAGTAATTCACCAATACACACCATGGTGTTTAGGTTTTATGATGTGCCAAGTGCTTTTTGTTGTGTTTGTTTTAATGACTACCCGGCCTGTTTGATTTCAGTATTTATTAACATTTTACTGCAACCTTTCTCCTCCAGATATGGCTGAAGCTGCATTCTACTTGTGTGCTTATGAGTTTGCCATCAAGACTGTGAACTCTCCCTGGTGTCGGCTCTTCGATGAGGTGGATGCGCAGGTACGATCTGTTTAATGATTGTAGGTTAAATGTGCCAGTGTGTCCAAATGGCTGTGTTAATTAACCATGCAGGTAAGATTTCATTGTGACCATTTTTAAAGGGTCAGTACCTGAAGTGCTTGTTTTAAAATTAAGTTACCCTTAATCATTTATCATGATGTGGACCAGTATGATGCTTTTCTGCACAAGTAGAGACTTTGTCAAAACTGCTGTTTATTTATGTGCCTTTTCTATCTCAACGTGTACAATTTAAAATGTTTTGTGCAGAAGAAAAAGGAAACTTAAGTAGGAATACAAAGGAAAAATGGCCAGATTTAAGGCTAAAAACACAGGATAAAGCAAACTAACAGGCCTGTTTGTAGTACCCCACACAAACAGTCTTAAACCCACAAATCATGTGAGGAACAATGTCACCAAAGGCA